GACTACGTCTGACTGCCGCGGTAGATAAGCCGACGGCACAATCCGTCATCCGCGAATTCAGCCAGCAAAGCTCAAGGCTTAAACTTCTGTGTAGGAATTATGGTAATTGGCAGGCTGCGTCGATGAGCCGAAACCGAGTCACAGACACGTGCACACAAACTTGCGCACACACACACACACCCCGATGAGTCACATGGCCCACGCTCACAACGGGCTCACTGAGAGCGGGCAACGGGGGTTTCGGCGCAGACACCAGGCACACCGGCGGAGACACTCGAATCGGATGAACGCGTACCCAACTAAAATAAGGGGGATTGGTAAGATTGTGCCATGTGGTTATGTGCCTCACCTGAGATTCTAGACTGATGGGTTCAGCCAGGACGAAGGCAATTACGCAGGCAGGGGTGTGCATGCGTCAGAGGCCAAACGTAAATTAAAATATCGCTCTTGTGGGATCGCCATTTGAACGCTCGATGCCGTTGGTCTGCTCCGTCGTGCATAGATTGTGAGCGATTTGCGATAAATGTTGACTTATCGCTGGTGATTTACTGCTGGTTGAAACAAAGTAAGCGTCGTTTTAAAATCTGACGGGAACACGTCTTGTAGACCTTGTTGCCCAAAGACACATGAAAAAAACATAACATTCGCGGCCACCCGTGTTAATGAATATCGACGTCTCATTCAACCTTCAGACTCCTTTGCGAAATCGCACTAATTTGCACCAAATTTATATCATGGTGTTTACCACGCAAATAACGGAGGCGTTTTCATGGGTAGAAAGTGGTATAGAATCACATGACCTAGGCAAGGAGACAAGTCAGGCTAATGAGAAAGCTCAGATGCAGATACGACAATCCGTCTTCCGACAACAGCTCGATCCATGGAAAGGGATGGAAGAAAACTTTGTTCCCGTAAGCATACCAGGATGAAATTGCAAACGAGAAAAGCTACCTTGGAAAGTGCAACGTTGGGGTTTACAAAATGCATATCTGTAAAAAGAAACTCTCGAATTACTCTAAGTAGAAGCAACAGCAAAACTAAACGCCTCAAACATGCTGGTTTCACTAATTAGGAGGCCCAATTTGCTAGTGCGCACTTTCTACAACCTCTCACAGGAGAGAAAACTGTCTTCTCCGAAAAATAAGTCTGCACTACAGAGAGCGCGGTCGCACGTAGCCTAGTTAATGTATCACGAAAGGGCATTTTTGCAGTGCAAAGAGTAGCGCACGGATTAAAACGCCCGAGAACTTGAGTTAGAAAGCGGTGACCTACCGCTTACACCATGAAACCAGTAGCAAACACAAGCCAGTCTGGAGGAAAAGGTCCGTTTCATCGGCATTTTTTTGGAAAAGGGTAACCTGCCCACTGATTAGAACACCTGATAGGACAAATAACACTAACCTGAAGGAAAACGCGTCCCACAGTAAATGGGCCTTCCAATGGGGCGTGGTTTACAATAGGTACGCGGTTAAAGAACAACTTCTGCTTTCGTGATACAATGGTGACGTACTTGCGTCACAAATGCGGATTTGATGTCGCAGAACATGATGTGAATAAAAAAGATAAAAAGTGCTTTGTCAGGAGTACAGTGGTAGATTTAAAGATGCTTGGCAAACTTAAACTCTGCTCCCCTGACAAAAAACGAGTTCTTGAAATTGCACCTTTGGTGAAACAGAGGGATCCGGCATGTCCCTAGGTTATGTTTCATTTCGAATTTTGGTGAATCCACTCTCAGACTAGGCTTAAATTGGCCTGCCACCAAGCCGTGAAATGCACATGCCACGTTTACCACTGTAGCGTGACTTAAACTCGCGTGATATTGGCGGAAAGTGAAGGGAGACTTATGAGTAATCACAGGCTGGGCACACGGAACCCGGGGGCGCGAATCGACTCAAAAAATACACGAGGAATCGATACACCATAAGGTGTGGGTGTGAACACGAGTTCTGCCCGTTTAGACCCGGCCAAGTCCTGCTGATTCATACGCCACATTAGTGAGATGACACACTACCCAGGTTGGTATTACAGGCGTTTTTTTCTCTCATTAGTCAATGCGTTGAACAGATGACAGCGACGGTTGGTAAAGTGCGCATGGGCGTCTTGTGAGTCTGGACAAGAGTCATAGTAAAATTTACATGAAGCGCTTGGTGCAAATGCATTGTTGGAGCAAGCGCGACAGCATTGGACCAAAAAAAAGTTCCTTTTCCCGAACGTTTCATTAGACAATGTTGTTCTTGTGACGATCGCGTAAAATCCCATGCTTTTCTCAATGGACACTAGAGTCAAACATGGAAAACATCCAAACACCGTTTTGCACCACATTGAACGTTTATTTCAAGGCTTCAATTTGTTGTACAGGTGATTCGAGTTTAACAAAAGTGGAACAAACGGTGTTACGCTACACCAAACAACAAAACGTGTTCTTTTCCTAGTTGACTGTAGCAGATTAAAAGTAGTTTCCGCAAAATCTAGCATCATAAAAGCGATGGCATGCATCAGCGATGAAAATCGTGTCGTGCACCGATGAAATCAAGTGGCGAGTTCCAGACGGGATGGAAAACAACTGCTACATCACTAGACCACCACACCCGCTAAGACTAACTACCTACCCAAAGAGAAATCGTGCTTCACATAGGATGCAAGGAATACAAAAAAGGAGGTAATTAGGCATTCCATGGAGACACATTAAAATAATTCACTGAATTTTCCATGTACATTACATAAGGCAATCCCATTGGCCAAAGAAATTCGCTTAATTGCAAGTCCACTTGTCAAATGTATCAACAACAATAGTGACTAAAGCGAAGGGTTTCGGGTGAACAAACAATCGTGCTTGTCACGTAGAATTAATATTTATATAGGTATAATGTACTTTCTTCACAAAAGCAGTCTCAGGTGATAACCAAGGAAAGTTTTTAGGTCCATCAACGACCTAGATACATAAGTGGAAAAGGTCAAGTGGTGTACTAAAGGACATACTTTTTGATTTGAAGACTAGAGTTTGGTGCAAAAACGTGGCAACGTAGTTCCTGGACAAGAGGCTAGGACAAGACAACGTGATCGCCTATCAAAGCAGAACAAAAGGCGCACATTGGTGAATTTGGCATCGGGAAATGGGAGGCATTTTGTGTGAATTTTGTTGTCGAAGACGAAAAAACCCTAACACCAACATGAATTCTACGTGTCGCACAAGCATTAACTATTCTATATGGCCACTACAGAAACAAAGCACTCCAGAGTGTAAAGAAAAACAGCACTTCCGAAATGCACCGGTATTTATGTGCGCAACACGCATAAATCAAACCAGCACCTCGTTTTCCTCGCCTTCACTATCCAAATACGCGCCAAAATCGAGGTGCTGGCGTGGCGACCTAACTTCCACAAAATTGCATGCGCACACTCAAGTTTGCCTTTTCGAGAAATTGACTTGGCATCGACTTCATCTGCAAACTGGATGTGTCAACGAAGCAGTTATTTTGAAATATTCTGTGGTTTGTTACTTTCAGATCAGAAAAATACAACATAATCGCGTTAGAAAGCGACCAAAATTAAAAGCACATTCCGCACGATGCTGTTTGTTTACGCAGTAAGGTCTAGAAAGAGACGGGTAAAGTGAGATACTTTAACTGTGAAAATAGCTGAAGGCAACACGAGCGAGACACTGGTCAAGATAAAAGATCAGACACTGGAGCATGTGGCGTAGCGCGCATTGGTGATCTGACCAATTCAAAGTGCACAGCTTAACAGACTCTAAGTGTACGATTTGAAGGAACACTTCCTTGCGAGTCGACGGAGACGAGCTGAAGAAAATTCGCACACGAAACCCAATCGGGGAAATGAGTGTAGCGTGCCAGACACTGGGGGCTGCTAACGCTACGACCGAGGGAAATCTGGACGAGAAAACGGATGACTTGATTAGGAATAAGGCGGAAGGTTGAGCGAGTTTGACAATGCACAAGAGGTACACGGGAATGCATGAATATGCAAATGGTGTGCGTACGTGAGCGTGGGCAAGAGCCAAGGGTGAGCGAAGACTAGTTGAGTCACAGTCGCGGTCACTCATCCGAGTACATTCAGAATGCGAAAATCCCACCAAGCATTCGCGCATGGTAAATAAAAATCCGACGGAACATTTTTTTAAATTAACCACACATTGAAAGCTGCAAGCCAGGTCGAAAAACAACTGGTTATCGTAAAGGGCTTAAATTATTAACACAAAGGGTGGGCTAGTAAGTGAATGGACGTGATCAACGATTATGCGACGTCATAATAAAAAGAACACAAACTCGTATCCCAACTAGACGCCTTAACTTTTATCCGGTATGGCGTAAAAGTACCTATTTCTAACTCACAGAGTTAAGAAAAGACTGTTCACCGTGAAATGGAGCTCTATTCCTGGTTTATTTATAAACACACAGATGAACACTTTAAATGTTTGGCAAAAGCGACATCTCTCAAGTGAGTGTGCAAAGAGGTAGCCTTATCCACTAAAAAGACCTTTTCACACAAATCAGTAGTCCGTAGAACCGTGACCTAAACTTGGCTATGATTCCCGATCACCAGCCGTAAAATGCACCCAAGCTTAAATGATAAGCACTGGTGGTTCCGCTTAAAAGGTCACAAGGAAACTGCATGCGCAGACACAGCTGCGCAATTAGGGCCTTACTATAGACGCCAACTAAACGCGTAATGCTTCGCAGTGCGCAGTGTTGTTTTTAACCACTTCTCAATCACGAGGGCTCAGTGACTGCCACAGATCGGTGGGAAAACCCTTAAAAAGTGCTGTGTAAACAAAACCCAAGAAATTCACAAAAGTGACGAAGAAGCAAAAGATAAGTCTTGATAAAAATCTCCTGTGAGTTGCGAACCAATTTTAATGACATGCAACATTCTGTTTGATTTTCCATTATTGGAACACCAACACATCGACGCGAAAATTGCCAGCACATACACTGTTTGAATCATCCAAAAAACCAATTTGATACTGCGGGCGAGACGATTCACATGATTGAAACCAAACCCCAGTTTCTTTTCACCAAAGAATGAACATGTAAACGCACCACGAAAGCTTGGTGGCAGGTGACAAGCCACTCACTGGCAGCCTTGACCATGATATCGCGTTCTTCCCAGTAGCCCGATTGTGAGTGATCCAGCAGGTGCTGTTTGCTCATCATCTTCATTGCATAAACGCGACGCGTGTCCTTGTGGCGAACTAACTGAACACGGCCAAAGCCACCTTGACCAATAACCTTGACCAACTCAAAGTCCGTGTATTTGGTTCGTTGAGAATAGATGACATTTGCCAGTTCTGAGAATCTATAGTAAGACGCAACATCGCCAATGAGCAGGTGTTTTGCAAAAAACATGAAATTAACCGCACAAGCAAACAATAAGAAACGATGAAGTTGCATTAATATTGATAAATCATCCACGATAATAATCAAAATTCCTTATATTTATGAAACTACATAAATGTACAGAAAGTAGGTAGTCGAGATACAATCCAACAAGGATCATGTAGTTTTGATGAAAGCTTAGTAAATTGCGCGATAACACGTCATGCCCATTAAAGCGGTATTTTTTTTCAAAATGTGTGCTGGGCACATTATAGGGAAGCCTAAAGTTGGGATCAAAAAGTTTCTACAAAATAAATGGACGACTGAACTAACCTACAAAAGGTATAAATCAAGTTAAAATACACAAAACAAAACAGAACAACTAAAATTGGGGGGAAAGTGACCCTAACTGAGGACCTTGGGACCTACTACACAAATATATGCAAAAATCGCAAAACTTAAGATCAGAAAAAAATTCCGGTTGCCTATTTCCCGACCCTTAGTCTACCACAAGGAAATGTGAGGTAATTTATGAGCTAAATGAAGGTACGCACACAGATTAATCGACATAGGGCAAACTAAACGCACACTTCGCAGAGAAAATCATGGAATAGCTCAATTATAACCCATAAGAACTTAAAAAGTTGAGGCTAACCTTTGAACAAAAGATTGAATGGCTTTAGAATTCTTCGCAGATTGAAAATTACAGTCCCAAACAAGAGCAGCAATTACATCGAGAAGGTTCTCTACGTTTCCATTAGAGTTGGGATCACTTAAAATATTCTTCAATTGCAACGCCGAAGACACCTGCTCCGACATTTTGGAGAATGACGAGAGGCAGCGATCAAGGACGGCTTGCGAAAATTTAAAGACACATGCGTGTTTGTCATTGGCAAACGATTTGACGAATCAAAGCCAGGCATTTGTCATTAGCATATTATTTGCGAGTTTCGCAAATGATTTTGCATAAAACGGGACACTTACGCAAATTTATTACTTTTGCTCATGCAAAGCTGTATTATTTTTACGAAAATGGCTTTATAGGAAATTTTACAGATCCAACCTCGTGATAGATACGGAATAGCGTAGTTGATAGATTTCATAATTTTCTGCCTTTAAAGCGCAAAAGTTTTGTAATAAAGCGCATTTTACATAACATTTTTCGTAAATAATACAGAATTTGGTAAATTCAACATGACTGAAATTTAATACACATTTGAATTGACAAGCTTTATAGCGATTGGTTGTCATGCTTGTAGTCTTAGCCTATTACGGAATTACCCAAATGAACTGACTTCGACTGCGCAGCCATCAGCGTCTAATTTGGTCTTTCTATGGTATTTTTACTTTTATTACTTCAATTGATAATTCATTAATGACGAATAACTCTAATGGGATGCTTTAAACCTAGACTGCACTGAGTTTATTCAAAACCTAGAGCACGTCAATTTAACGCGAATCGTTCTGCTTGCTTTTTGGTTATGGTCCTATTTCCGTTTCTTACAATTCTAGGATCCACCAAAGAAACAGCTAATTTATATTACTCCCGATGAACTCGACCGTCTTCCTCCTGAGGCTCCCGTATACGTGCTTTCTTCTTCTCGAGATGATTCCAAAACTCAAGGTCCATTATTGCCAACGCCTACGTCTGTTACTCCATCACTCAACTGTCACCTCCCTGATGCTATGTGGGCCTCGACGCCGTCACTCGTGGGATATCCAAATCAGCCTACAAACCCAACTCTTTTTCCGCCACCACTTTCGTCTTTCACAATTCCACCACCATTCCCTCTTAACATGCATACGCCACAGCATTTGAACTCTCAGCCACCTTATCATCCACCTCTTCCCCTCCAATTCTTTCCACCACCGTTAAATCCTCAACCACTCGCCCATCTGTCGTCAGCACCTAATATCTCTGTTCCACCAAATCATTCGAATTCAAGGTTAGATTATATATCCTTTATTTAATATTTATTGCCTGTGTAATTGGTTGCATCATTGTTTTTGAGGTGGTGAAATTTCTTATTTAACTCCACTTCATGCAAATTCAATATCTAAGGAGTGCAACATATCTTCGTATCGGATTAACAGCGATCGCGCCTGAGTGAACCCAGGTTACCGACCGACGGTGACAATGACTCACCCCCTTTTCATTGGTTACTATATCAAATGCCTGTCGTCCGTTCACTCATACACACACTAAGACAAACGTGGCTGGCGTGACGCTAATAGCCATCTTCTCTCACTGATGTCTCAATAGCATATTTAAATCAATTCAAGTCTTCTTTCCTATTTCCTTGTCGAAGTAGTATGCTAGACTTTCAACAGAACCATTGTCGCGAGAACTGATGTAACATAATTTGCTGTTGTAATCGATCATTAATGAGCTAACCCAGCGATCTTTGTTTTGCTCTGCTTTTTAGCCACTTCAATAGATCAACGAAGAAGGCAACTGCACCAAATGTATCTTCAAGGTACCTCAGTTTTATTGTTTGATTTCCGTATCTAAATAGTTCTCGTGACGATCGCCAATGTCATCGGGAAGATCGAGGGCAACTAACCTATTCAAGTATTTGGTGCACTCCTTCTGATGATTTTTTCGAGGTTTGCTCTATTGTTGTTAACTCCATTACATAGACTAATGGCACTTGTAAAGTTGCCACGCCGCGCATGATTGCACTGGAAAATGAGTTCGAAAAGGAGGTTTTGGGTCGGCGGAACCGAGCATTGTCTGGGTGTGTGCCAGTGGATGAGTTACGCCCTCCCCTAAAAAGGCCTGAAATAGTCGATAATGATCCCGAAGATCGTTCCCCTATTATATCGAAGAATGGACGCAAGCGGCCAAATCAGAAAAAACGCGATTCAACTGTTAGCAGTTTGACCGAGGTATTTTTCAAATTTGCTACATTATCCGATTATCCATTACTGAATCTACCAAGAATTGCCGAACTCATGTTTTGCATCCCTTTTCTTAACAATGTTTTCTCGGTTATAATCAAGGAAGAAGTTCGTGGTTTAAGGCCCCAGTTTCTTGGTGATTATCTTTGGGGAGGTTTTCTGTATCTGTCTACGTATCATCAATGTTCATATCAAGTGCTTCAGTGCTTCTCTTTTGTCCAACTAGCCTGACGCAATCACTCCAGACAATCTCATGGATGCAATTTCAAGCAACTTGACTTCATCTCCGTGTTTGGACAAACACTCACGAAATGCCGACTCCTTGACGTCTTCTGGCGATCCTTTCGACAGAACGATCCAACAACAAATCGAGGTTTCGCACAAAGTCTCTCATCCTCATCGACTCCACCCTAGTATCTGGCATAACGAGGCGGGTGAACACAACAGTGGGCCAGCCTGTTCATGCAAGCCAAAATATAGAATAGGTCCTCTTCATAACCAATTTGAGGGTGAAACTGTGAGTTTTTTATTGCAGCTGTTAAGACATTTACGCTTTTTATCATGACTTAGCTTCGTTTTCGCGTATTTTCGTTTTTTTTGTGTATTTTGAATTTGACGGACCATCCTTATCCTCTCGTGGCCCTCGTCATAAAGTTGACTTTGTTCATGTAAGATTAACTGCCCAAATAATGTGCTGTGGTCAACAGCTTAGTGTATAAGTTGGCCCAAACTTTAACAGCTTTTGGGAAGTTTCGTGAAAAGTGTTTTTCTCTCGTATTGTCTTTCGAGGGAATCGGGCGTGGTTAGTATGCAATTTTGATATCGTCGCCGGACTCTATGCTGTATTTTTGCCTTCTTGTCTTAGGAAGTGCCACGATGTCGCTTGGAGTCAAACAATCGAGATAGGTTGTACCATTACCGTGTTATGGTCACACCAACAACTAACTTTTTCAATTGCAAACCTACAATCATTCCTTACAACGGCAACGACTATTTCTTTGATGGCTACTCTGTATTTCTACATTCCTCCCTTGAACAGGTACGTGTTTGCTGTGGTTTCCGGTAAATACGACGCTAATTAAATGCTAAAATATCTTCCTTTGGCTACTAATAGCTTCCTCCTTGCCAACTTCTTCGCTTCAACCTGCTGTACGAATTTGTTGCTGTGGCAGACGATTTCCCCGAGGTACGCTCTCTCGATGTTGCCTTTCATTATTCGTGGTTATCTTTTTATTCCACGTCTCATTTAGTAGAGACTTTCAAAGGTATTGTCTCCTTCACTACATGCACTAATCATCCCTAATGTCTCAATTCCCTTTTAAAACGGTTTATTTTTTCATTGCCCAACTATCCTGCAGCGTTCCCGAAAAAATGCCATAATTTACGATAAATATTAAGTCCACTCCAATCACAAACGATGAGGTACACTTTTGTAGAACTTGACGGTTCGTGCAATGGACATGTTGACGAAGTACATCTTTCAAGAACTCCTCGAGCTGCTCGATCTCAACTGGCTGCCACATGGCGCTGAGTCCGGGTGTCCCGTGGTTCACCTCTTCCCCAGATTCGTTCGCAAGGTTGGCGATGCCTCGGCCGAGCTTCTCTCCGTTAACCACATCCTCGAGTACTGGATGGGCCAGTCCCGATTGCCTCTCATTCGACCCACCGACTTGTCTGCGATTCAACGCATGGCCAATTCCGAGTGGTCAGCGCGCATTGACGACCTGCGGGGCACACTCGCCTGGAAGCCTGGAGTTGTATGCTTTAGTTGTAGATTCGATTATCCTATGCATTGTCTTGCATTCCTGAAATCCGTAGATTTGGCTATTCAGCATAAGCAACTTTGAAAAGGCTGAACTATCTCACTCGCTGGTGAACTTGTATTTTTTTTTCCTTATAGAAACCCCCGGCAATTCGAATCGATCAATTGGATCGTTCATTTGACTCTTCTTCCTCAAGTTCCACCAATACTCCCCGCTCTCTCCCGTATCCTCTCTTAGTTCATATGACCTTCACTCCGATGAAACTGAGTCTCTCCCGCGACCCAAAGTACAAATCTGTGCTTAAAAACTTCATGAAATTGGAATATCTCATGAACAATAAACCTCGCATAACGGCTCACGACCGAGCTCAGCGTGCTCAGCTGGCGAACAAACTGGATTCAATGGATCAGTCTGGGTGAGTTCTTTTGAGACTCTTCTTGCACTCTGTTCGTGGCATGGTAGAATGTCTGTAAGCTTCTGTGGTCGGCTTTCCACTTACCATTAATTGCGAAATTGCATTTCAAGTGGAGTTTGAATAACATATTTAGTGGGGGAATCTTGGATTCGTGCAGTGTCAATCAAAATCTCGAGCATAGCTTGTTTGAGAACGAATAACCACTTATCCAACCTATTTGTGATTTGAATGCTGATTTGAACTTCAAGAAAGACAATAATAAATGTTTTACACTCTTCGGTAATTTGCTTCAGTGGAAATAAAATTCATAATTTTAACAATCGTTGCTGATATTCGGGACGGCGAGGGTGTCATTTCACCCGAAGGAAGGTTTGTCAATGAATGCTTGTTGCCGCCTCTGTGTTGGACTTCGCCTTAAGTGTCTTTTGCCTTACTGCCCTTTAGTGTTCACCGACGCGAAATAACCGTTGGCATCAGTAGCGAGGGCTTCTATCGAACGGGCATTCGTCCCGACGTAACTCAATTTGCTCTCAACATGGCCTCCTTCGTCACCCACATCCGCTGTATTATGTCGCTGAAGTCTTTGGAAGCGCGTTTGGGGTATGAATTCAAGGACAAGTCGCTGCTTCATGTGAGGTTCCCCAAAGTATTTTCTCTGTTTTCCCACTTTTTTTACGCTCACCTAACTTCTTTTTGGACTTTGCGCTGTAAATACTGTTGCTTCATTCCATCTCGGTTTAGCAAGCTCTGACTCATCCTTCATATCGACGAACCGATTTCGGCACCAATCAGGACCATTTCCAAAACACACAAACTAGTTGTGGTCCGCGAACGATTGTGTATGGTGACAAATTGCAGCTTTACAAGCAATGGCGGAAGAAAGGCCTCTCAAGTATGATCAAGGTGATGTCATTTATGCCCAAGCAACACGAGGAGCGATCGAAGATCTACGGCAATGAGCGTTTGGAATTCTTGGGCGATGCTGTTATTGAAGTCATTGCCAGGTGCGTAAACTCCCACGCACAACAAAGTCGATTTCCCTAATCCTTCGATGTGAATGTTCCTCGTAATTACTGTTTAGATCTTTGTTAGGATGAGGCTTTGTACCACGACACTGCCCTCTTGTCCATGATCGCGCTTCATGTAAAGCGTTGCTGCTCATGCAGATCACGTGGTATCCTACTTCGTTTGTGCTGCCTAACTACCCCCCATTGCTACGTATCCCTCCATCATGTGTTAATCTACCCAGTTGTGGGAAATGTTTACATTACTTGTAACCGTTGCAGTGCTGCTGACTCCCGTCCTGCGTTGTGTAGAGCCAGCTCCCACAGACCCCCCACGTGGCTTTTTCGAAGTTTGCGTTGAGTCGCATTTACCTCGTGAGCATGTGATGGGGCCATTCTTGGTGGTAGTTGAAAATGATCCAACAATAGGACTACTTTAAATGTGCATAAATTAATAGCCTACTCCCCATCGCATAAATTACACAGGTTCTAGCACCCTTTATCCGCTGCAAATGGCCTATTCACGACTTGCTGCCCTTTTTGTTCCCCACCTAGTATCCATTTGTTCTTCATGTTTCCTGATCTACCCGAGGGAAATTTAGACGCCTACCGTCAAGCCTTGGTTCAAAATCAGCATTTGGCAGACTTGGCATTGGTGAGTTTGTCCTTCGCCCCTCTGGCGGATGTCATTTTATTTCTCCCGTTTCTCTTTCTACCAGGCCTCTTGAACTTTAATTTTACTCTTTTTCAGCGCCTTGGTTTGCACAAATATCTTCTGTACACGCACAGCGTAGATTTTTGCTACGACTCAACCTATGTGTACACGCGTTCGGATGCATTTGAAGCCGTGATGGGCAAGCAACTTGGCATTGTCTTTCTTAAAACTACTTGTGATCTGGAACCAGTCGTGGTAGGTAATGCATGTTACTCCTTTTTTGTAGCTGCGATCGCTCTCGATGGTGGCCTAGAGGTGGTGGATCGAATATTTGGCGCCGTGCTCTTTGGCGACTGCGAACGCATTCACCGAGTGTGGGTTCGAATCCCGCCTCACCCCCTACAAGCCCAGTTCCCTGACGGAGATAGAGAGTGGGCCTCCAATGTGCCCATGTTAAAGGTTAGTTTAAATAACGGGCTCCTACTGATTTGCTCCAAGGCAGTCTCTGATCTCATTATCCGGGAATCATGCAAGCACAACTGTTTTATGACTTGTAATATTATGTTGGAAGTAGAACTTTCGACTTCGCTTTGTGAACTAATGGAAAGTACTCGAATGTTACAGTCGATAATATCGATTTTTGATAATGCAAAGAACGAACATTTGTTTACTTTCATCAACCAACTTGCATGCACCTTACTGAGCGTGCAAAGGATCGTCCGTAATGTTTCTAGCATTTCGTGAAATGCTTGTGCACAAAGTGTTTCCTTAAGTGCGCTGAGATGGTGCGCCCAGTAAAGAAATCTAGAAGTGGACTTATTTTGTGTGGCCATGTGGTTCTACTGGAGCCACTTCTAGTGTCTTGCATGATGCTCACAACTGGGGACCAAGTGAAGTGTGTATCACTTAAAAAAAGCCAAGCAGAGGTGTTTGGAAGGAGGAGTCAACTCCTCATGCCACCTACGCTTGCCAGTAGCTGCTCGCACTTGTCACCGCGTAAACACGTACGTTCTCGAAGATTCAACATTTACCTCTTTTTTTTACATTTGCGACTTTCCGCACACATGTGCACAGTGCGCATCAAAAGCGCTTCCCCATCCCAGTAAAACAGCTGGATCTTCCACATAGTTTGTTGATCCTCCTCTCCGACGTGGTCGCTGCTCGGATTTATCAGTTTATGAAACGCAGCATATCTTTTCTACACCTGATGTGTTTACTAGTTTTTTTGTGGGCTTGTCATCTCGAGTAACCGCGACATTCCTCTGTACTGTGTTAGCCTCCATAGTTATGGTGTTGGCTGAGGTGTTTTGTGGGTAACTGCATCCTAGCCAGATATTTCGTTTGTCACTCGGTTATTTGTGGAAAAGCTCTCGCTGCCATCTCTGCAGCTCATTCCCACCCATTTCTGGCCTTTATCATCATCGGCGCTTCCTTTAACATGTTAACTCCACATTACTGTGTGCGATGCCAGTGGCTGCTAAATCGCTAGGCCCGGTAGCACTTTTAGTCGCACCACCTTAACTCACAAGTAAGTACCATTTTGTAATTGACATTCCGGGACGTCTGTGGTTGGCCATCTGACGTTTAAGTCTATTCGTCTGCTTTTAAACGCCAGATTGGCAGACTGCATTGGCTCCCTAACGAGGCACACAAAATCACTGGTTATCGTTTTTCTTTTTAAACCAGAACGACTAATATCTTGCCTTCCAGATTCAAACTGATGCAGACAAATTATTCATCTGAGTTCATCTTGAATTGCTGATGAGGCTGCATCGCTGGTTGTATCTGCCAGGCCTAATCGACTCCTATGCGTGCACAAGTTTTCTGTTCATTGTTATGCCACACTTACACCGTGCTGCTCTGAAATTTCACTTTTTTTTTCAACACGCATAAACGTAGTTGTCATCGTGTGTTTAATGTTTTTCGTTTGAATAGAAATTGTCTGCTCTAGAAGATCGACTGGGAATCAAATTCAAGCATGTGCGTGTTTTGGCTCGAGCACTGACCGTTCGTAAGACAGGATTCAATCTCTATACCTTGTAAGCCAATCATTTTCCAGTCATTGAACCAATTATTTAAGTCGAGCCTCTCTGCATTGCATTGTTTAATGTCTCTCACCAATTCTTGAACACTTTTCGTAGTCTGAGTTTTGTGTTATCAAGTCACTTTTCCAGCCACAATTCAGCACCACCATCTCTTCAAAGGCTTCTCGTGGATTCAATCCACCAAGGCGTTCGGTGTTTTTCCGGTAGCAGTTTGGCTTCTGCTAGAACGCCGAGCGTTAGATTGAAGTCGCCTAAGTTGTCTGCATTACAGTGTAGGCGAATTTTGATGCAAAATATTTTGCTCTCATATCAAATTCGATTGTGGACGGATGTTGATGAAACAACGCGCCTACCCACTTTGTCAAAAAGAGTGGCATTGCAAGCAGGTTCATTATAGAGACCTCCGGTCGGATGCTCGAAAAAGTGAACACCTGGATTGATATTTGCTGGCTACAATTAATCGTATCGCTATTTCCCCTGTTTTTAAGGCCTTTATCAGACTAAGGTCTTGCATGTACACGTAGCGTGTGTCCGTGAGTGGCTTCCGTTTCCCCTAGGGGCGATAACCAACGGCTTGAATTTCTTGGTGACTCCCTGTTGAAGTACGTCACGACAGACTACCTCTTTCGGCACTTCCCACGCCACCATGAGGGTCACCTCTCTCTGCTGAAGAATTCCCTGGTAAACAAGTACACCCAAGCGTCGGTTTGCAGCGACCTGGGCCTCGACCAGTTCATTATTCGTCGCGAGGACAACTCCTTGGCGATTTCTGGCATCTCCGATGAAGTGCCGTCCTCTCCTACCCGAAAACAACAGAATGTAAAAAACAAAGCTGACCTGCTTGAAGGTTGGTTGTTTTGTTTTCACAATTCACGTCGATGCCACCCATTCTGGCAACTGTGGTTTTGATTGTTTAAAACTAGTTGCCTCGTTTCCTGCCTGAATCAGTCGTGCCCGTTAGGAACTCGATTCAGCTTAAACTGGCGTGGTAACTTGCGGCTAAGTGTTCCCTTGATTTAGTTCAATTGACTGTGTCTACTTCTCTCTGTGATCGTAGCAATTTTTGTCATTAATCGGGCCTTGCAAATTCCAGGCAAATCGGCTTCATCTTGGCCAAATTTCACTTCATTAACTTGAAGATACCATGCGAACCGGACTTGACTCTGAATAAAACGGCGATTTAGGCTGTGCAACCGATGACATGACTGGTCATTTTATTAAATGCCTTTCGTCATTCCAGCCTTTATTGGTGCGCTCTTCGTGGACAAGGACATAACCTGGGTGGAGCGCTTCTGTCAGGTGTGTTTCTGGCCTCGCTTAGTGGAATTCATCCTCACGCAGGAGTGGAATGACCCCAAATCAAAGTTGCAACAATGCTGCCTGACGTTTCGTTCTCTCAACGAAGATCCTGAAATCGCACACTATAAGGTTCGTTTGCGTCGGTTTTTAACATCTTCTGAATGACGTTGTCATGGATTAAACCACGGTATACTATTCTAGATCCTAGAATATTCTGGACCATCCAACGAACGTGTTTACAAGGTTGGCGTGTTCTTCAAGGACATTCAGTTAGCCGTGGGCTCAGGAAGGTCCGTTCAGAATGCGCAAATGGCGGCAGCTAAGAATGCATTGGCAACTCACCAGGGTCGGTTTGTCTATACACGACTAGCGTCACTCCACTTTTTTTTTTATAATTCATCCATTTAAAGCGTCATCTTCGCGTACCTTATAGAGGTGTTCAGGCAGCTGGACTTCCAACGCTCTGTCATTGCCAAGCGGTACCGGCAGCCGTACATCGATAAGATGCTGAACAAGCTCGAGAGCTGGGACGAGTCGCTCGTTGGTAAATTTGTCCGTGACGTCCCTGACTACAGCCACGACGCAGCCGACGTCCCGGAGCATGCATTTAAGAGGCGTCGCTGCAGCATTTCTGGCTTGGACGATGAGCTAAATGGCCAGGCCAACAGTAACTCGGATATGGACTTGGACGACGAGGACGAGGGCGCGCCTTAGTTGTTCTGCATTTTGCATAGCCGTCCAATTTTATCAATCATTTTCTTAAGCATAGGCAATAATCATGTTCGTGTTTACACAAGTTGCCACTTTTCCCTCACTATCGTATGTTGCAAACTCGTGTGCGCTCTGACGGATGCTCTTTTTATCTTTCCTGCTTTTTTTTAATCCAAAATCACTACCTGTTTTTTTTAAATTAAATGGAAATGTTTAGATCTTTTAAAGTGAATAGTAAATTAACCCTCAGTGGTTCACGCAACGACTTGTCCTCCTCTGACTGGTCGATTTTTGGTATAAATATCAATTAACAAATCACATAGTTTTTTTAACTGCAGGGTCGTCATGTTTGGTAAAACACACAACTATGTAAGTGCAAAAGTGAATGGTGCTTGTTGGGACCGCTGCATTGCTATCAGTGAGTATAGCAATTGCGCCAATGAGCAATTACAAATAATTCCCTCAGATCGAATCACGATTTTTCATTTACAAACTTAATTCGGATGCAATACTCTAGGGTTTATATTTAAAGTAAGTTACTTTCATTGTTTGGAACGCCCGTTGTCATATTGTGCTCTGATGTGGATCCATTATTAATTGATTAGACAGGTGTGCCGGATCCTTTTGCCTCGACAATGGCAGAACCTGTTAGTATAATGTGGCGTGGTTATCTCTGGCAAGTTATAAGTCCTACCTAGTGTTCTTAGAAAATTTACTTGGGCAAACTAAAAAAATCCTCAACTTATTTTAATCCTGAACTCAGATTCATATCAGTGGTTCTCATTTTACATTTTTAATTTTCTGAACAAAATTAGTTCTTGTTCGTAATGTACCTCATCTGACTCCACGCAAACCATGTTTAATGTTTCGTTTTGTCTACGAAAATTCTAAAAAATGTCACATAATTGCAGCCGCTTTATCTTTGTAGACATCGTTAAGCCATCTGCAAACCAGGCAGGTCACTGCTCAGCAGTTCATTCTATTCAGTCGATGACAAATAATTAAGTAAATTTAAAAAAAAATTAGACTTATTGTTTAAGGAGTTATGTAAATTCAGAGGTCTAGCTCTGTGGATTTCAGAACTGGGATATAGGGGTTTTCAGCAGGCTGAAGACCCTTATTTGTGTTTGAAATGTTAAGGCTAATTGATAAGAATAAAAGTTTAGCTAGCTCATTGTCTTTTTTTAAATCTCGCTCATGGCTACGTCAAAGGAGAGTGTGCGACATACGGACATTCAAATTTAACTACCGGAGATTTAGGCTTGTGTGTATAGGTATACATTCATGCCAGAACGACAATCAGTGTTAGAGAACCCATGAATTTACTTAGCCACTGAAACTAGTCGGTTTTGTGTATGTTTTTCTACGTACGTGAGCGTTCGTGTGTTTTTGGCATTCATGCTGTCTGGCAAACCAAAAGTTAAAATGGTTTTCACATGGATACACTTACCATTTCTTTAGATAAATCATAGATTCAAGACTAGGTAAAGGTCTGTAGCCCAGTTGGTACTAGAAAGACGCTCATGCTCAATAGGCTTTGTGTATGGAAGCCCTAAAAATATTGTTTTTTTCCCACTATTTATCTTCTATTGCATGTCTGGTTATCAACCGCGATTATATAGGCATCCTGAGTGACATATTGAGTGTAACCGCTCCAATTAAGCCCAGCTCAGCAGACAGGTTAATAAGATTCTCCTAAACAACTTGTCAACTGACTAACGTAGTAATACAAAAACTGTATGTTGCTTAAATGGTCTAAATCCATGTACCACTCAAATGATTTATTTGCGGAGAGACCTGTTTTGTTGTGGTAACGTATATCAGTGTATATACAGGGATGAATACAATATGTGATTAATATTGGAAAGGCAAAAAGTGCAAATGCCTTCGACCTTTCAATCAAAACAATGCAAAAAGTTGGAAATGACTTCCTCAATACTACGCTTATAAGCATTTTAAAATTCTTTCAGGCCAAAGAGCTGGTTGCCCGTATAACTGAAAATGCACGTCGCATTTGAAACACCACATTTACCTAGATGCTATAAACTATTATAACTGCTGCTAGTATTGATTTGAAAGTATCAACTCATCATTGTACAGCATGAGAAATATTGGTTAGCAGTTGGAAGGATCATTAATTTTTCTAAAGACTTTCAATCCTTAAATAATGTTAAGTGAAACGGACTTTTTGGAAACACCAGCCGTGTACGTATGTTCAAATCGAATGTACGTAAGCATGGAATTAAGATGGCTAGCATACATACTCGCTGATAAATGAATGGAATCGTGTATGCAATAAAAAGGCTTGTCACACAAGTTCGCGGATTTAGTTGTAAAAAGGCAGGCAATTCTAATATGAAATATAATTTAAGTTACTATTATTAACTAGATCCAATTTCTACTTACATAAGGGCTCAAGAAAAATTGTGCTTGCTCCTAGAACCCAAGAGTTTGGAGTTCAAAGTTTAAAGACGATTCATAACTTCACTTAAAAAAGGTAATTTCAATGTCAATGCTTGTTCAGTTTAGTTATCAAATATAGGATCTTTTGCAAATTCATGACTTCTTTTGGCAAGTTTTTAGGTTTGTTATTTTGTATAAGACGTGATAAGGTGCCAAATTAGGAGCCACGCTATGGAACATTGACAGCAAAACCAGAATATAACAAAGCCGAAATGTATTTACTGTTGGCTGAGGCAAGTAAAAGTAAGTGACCCTTGCATCCTATTGGTTAAAAATGACCATCGTATAACCTCTTCCCACCACTTAGCCTCTGTGGATTTTCCGATGTTGAGTTTGTTATAGTCCATGTGGTTTTCTCCTTACTTGCTCATAGCTTTCCTTTTCGTTCTAAGTTTGTTCTTATTATACTAATCAATGTCATAGAATGTTGTTATTCCGAAATTTGTACTAACACTGAGGATGTTGCTAACTGTCGCAAAAAGACTTTAGCATTTGAGGCGATTTCTGACTTACACAGCCAGTTAGATGGAGATAGCAGTGGTGGTGTTGACTTCTCAGAGGCTTCGAGGGTGAGTTGTATTAATTTTTTATAGTAACTATGCCCCACTACCGCGGATTAATCTACATTCAATAAATTTGTAACCAAACCCAGCGCTATTTCTTGTGTGTTCAGTTTATAAGCATTTATGATTTCTATGCGATCTTTGCCATTAATCTATATGAGGTTGGCTAATTCCATATCTACTTTTTTGATCAGTGCAACATGCTTTTAGCAATCAGCAATTATCTGAAAACTTTATCGTATTAGTTGCCGTTATTTGCATTCTCTGTATACCGTTATGTCTCTTTTCAATGAATTTGTACGGAGGTACACTGTGAACTGAAAAATTACTTCTAAACTTTGCATTTATTGGCCGAAATAGGGTTTTTTTTTGTTATCTATACTAGTGTATATGGTATCTTTGTTAAGGATCCTTACTGGTGTACATATAGATTTGGTCCAAGTTTTTTGTCGTGAAATTGTAGCGTAGACTTTTGGGTAATTTTTTGCTCATTGTTGTATGCCTTCTGTTGACAAGTTTTTTTTAAGTAACCACCTGAAAAATTGAAATTTTATTACCTTTTAAAACGTCGTCTTTGTTGCCAAGCCATAAACGTCCCTCAGACTTCAAATTCCTCACATTAATGAAGCAGTTTTATCTACGTATTAGTAAAAAAACCTTACTCCTTAATCTTTAAAATAAACAACATGTTTAATTTGTTCTCTATCAAGTTAATACACGCTTTTGTATGCACTATTAGTCGTTCATTGTATTTAGTTTGTTATATCCGGTAGAATACTTCTAGTGGTTGCTATACGGGGCTAAAAATGTCATGGTTATTAAATTTATCGAAGTCACGAGATGAGAATCTTTATTTGTTTTGTTTGCTGTTTGATGTGAAGCCTTGTTTATGAACCACCTCTCATCTGCTTTTCCCAAAGATTAAAGATATAAATTCGACAAAATCATCATTTATTTGTTCGATTTGAAGGTAATTTCTTTGATTAACCCAAATACATTAGTGCATACCTTAACCATTCACAAGGTATTATGTTAGATAAAAACTTCCTCTTATCTAAAGAGTACCTAGTTTGTCGTGTAACTTTTGTTTTGAGTATAAAAAATAAACTGAATTTCACCCACTGTGTTTTCTCATGAAATGCATAACTTTCGATTTAATGATCTATTTGTAAAATTTATTTGGATGACTTGTTATCAATAACACTGATGTGCGCAAAGTAAAAAATATTGAAAGAGTGAGATCTCCCTCCTTAACACTTCAAAACTTCTACATTCTACATGAGCAGGAGGTCTTTGCGTTCGCCGGATATTCGCGTTTGGTGTTATTTTATTGTTTTTAATTGTCACACCGGCTCGAACGAAATGCAATCATTTTTCTCAATAATCAAAGCAGTTGCCTTTGCCGTTTTTTTGAATTTTTACTATCTGGCATTTTGGCAAGATTTGGATCCATTGTGTTTCCGCTAATTCTTCTAATTACACTTTTCCCTTTTAGTTCCTGGGAGACAAACTCAGCTACCCAGTTGAGCATTTCCGTCAAACGGATCTCAGTCAAGAGGACGGTATCATTAGCCTCCTTGACCTGTGGGTTGCGTGGCAAAAAAATCCAGGTAACACTCAGCAAACAGACCAAAACCTAGTGTTGCGCAGTTTGTCTTAAGTATCGTCATTTGTTTATTGCGCTTACTTCCTAGTTGAATTGTAGTCTTGTGAAATCCTAATGCTTATGTCACACGTTTGTTTTTCCCTGGCCGTTTTGTTTCAAAACGCTCACGCTCTGTATGTCCTGATGGAAGCTTCACGAAGTTGGTTAGATGTTATGGGTAGACAATCAAAGCCTATACAGCGAACTGACGTTTCTATTCAAGAAGCAGTTGATATCTTAATTTCCATACCAATTCACAAATTTACAGTATTAGCTTCCATTTTTTTAAATAAGTTCGCTCATTGACTCACATTTGCACTGATGCCTGAATCAGTCTAATGACCTTTTCTATTTCCGTTAAATGAGATAGCCTTCAGTTCCATCAAATGGGCACTCTTGTTTGTCATATTCTCTTTAAAGATCAAACTCGTTAAACGTCATTCTCTTATTATACTTAGCGCATAACTGGACAGTTGCGGAAACTGCACGATGGGTTTCTGAGAGTGTGGAGCTTCCAGAATATGGCGAAATTTTCCAGCAGTATAAAGTCGATGGTGAAAGCATACCGCGGTGAGTTTGTTGTTGCAATTAAAACCCAGGTTCTCTGTGCTAAATATGCATTTTCTTGTGATGCAAATTGGTACATTTAGAAGATGATAGCTTCGCAGCTAAAAGTTCAATTAATGTAAACATTTTGGGATATCGACTTTCCTTTTTAGTGCTTAGGTTCCCAAACCCACTGTGATCTACACAGGAGACCTTATTTGCTTGCCAGACCGCATCACCTAAGTTATGTAACATAAGACTTGCCACTACGGAGTCAATGCTCGTCATGCAGTTCATCAGAGTTGTGATGTCGTTGTGTTGTGATCTTGTGTGCATCGCCTGAGAATCTTCCTGTCCATGCTTACTGGGTTGCCATCAACATCAATTGACTTCTCAATTACAACGTGGTATTTTTCGAATTTGGTCGCGGTTCTGATGCACACTTTTACGCCGAGAGTTGGCCACCCTTTGTTTGCACTGTCAATTTTTTCTTGCTAAAATCGACCTCTTTTACCCACTACGCGTCCTTCTTGTCTTTGACTTTTGTTGGTCACACTCCTGGCTCCACTTCTGTCTCTCCGAATAACCAACTTTTTGCCTGTTTTTTTCTATCAGATACCAATTTTCTTGGTTAAGTTGACTATTTTAGGGAAAGATTCCCGCCCTGAACTTCCAAACTATTCATTTTGGTGCAAAAAATGCCCCAATTAAATTGTCTAAAACCGTCCTTATCTTAAATGGAGGCATATCCAATCAAGCATGGTCTTTTGCGAAGCCAGTAGACTGGACGAAGCCCTGCCTCCACCCAATTTCTCGCACCCCTCTCTTTATGAAGGAAGTGGGTGCTTTTTAGGCAACCCTCCCACCACTTTGTCGGGTATTTCAGTAGTCGGAACTCAAGTACTTGGGCTGACAAAAATTAGCTTGGCGCAAACACCTTTCCTACAGCATTTTGATCCTTTTGTTTTTAAAAGCCACTCCACCCTCGTCTGTCCTTCTCACCCTCAAGTTGGCCGGCACTAAATCATTCGAACATTATTCTTACCACTCTTTTTTCTTTCCCGTCAGGTTCAATTCCACCGCAATTTTTTAACATTAACTTTTGTGTTGTAATGCTGGCAACTACTTTTTCGCTAACCCACTCTATTGGTTCTGTACTAAGTGGCTGCTCATTCGTTCGGGCTGCCAAACGCGCACCTGGAAGGCCCCATTAATTCGCCACTCTTTGATGGGCAATCAGTTCCTTTTTAGCGTTTATTTAAATCAGCACCTGCCTGTTTTTGACTAATTTTAGGGCACTTTTTCGTGTCACTTTAGGCTCGTGTCTCGCAGTCCGAAATTCATTAGCGACGAACTCGGAATAAAAAACTCCCTCCACCGACGAAAACTCTCCCTCAAAGCCATGGATCTGATCCTCTTCGGTCCTCCTAAAAGTAGGCAAACCTTTTTTCGTTTCTCTTTTTTTCTTGCTGTATGCGGTGTGTGTCAGCCATCTGTGGTTGGATCGGCGAGCGGTGAATTGGCCCCATGACGCGATGCCCATAAAAACCAAGTTTGCAGACTCACCACTGGCAATTACACTTAAATAACAGGCTGCAAAAACAAAATACCTTCAGTTACAATACACATCACGGTTTTATCGGCAGTCTTCTTACGCGTTTTTAACAATTCCGGATTCATTGAGGCTCTGTTTTAAGAGCGTACATTGGGTGTTGTTGTTTTACGCACGCCTTGGGTAATTCGCTGCAGTGTGCAGTCTAAATGATGTCATTAACTTCACGAAAATCCTACCGGTTATTTGGCATTCAAGAGATTGCCCATTGTGGTAATTGGGGTCAATTGCAATTATTCATATTAAACTGTACACAACTACTGGTTTTTTCCCCTCCCACACTGTAAATACAAAACACTTGAAGTGTCTAGGTCTCTCACACGAACTCGTTCTGTATCCCACCCGTCCAAAGTCCGTGCGAGTGCCAGAACCCTGCCGAATACTGTTCACTTTTGTGATTAGTGCGCGGGCGATCGTTGTGTTCTCCTTTATGCTAGAAAACTTCTCTTCTGCAACCGTGGCAAGCAGTCTGGTGGCCCATCTCGCCAAGGACATGCCTCTCCTCACGACACTGGCCCTCGCGGGTGCATTTTTTGTCGCATTTTTCGGCCTCAACTACCACTACTCGCGAAGGCTGCGGACCGCCGCCTCGGGCAACTATGACAGGCTCTTCAAGGCGGAGCAAACTCTTCAAGAGTTGCAACACGAGTGGGTTCTGGTCTTTTTTGTATTTTACACTTACCACAATCGAGTACTTTTCTATTAGCCTTATCCAAACTTGCTCTACCAGCTGATTACGCTTCCTTTGCAGCTAAATGGTAGTCTGGTTAGCAATAAACCACCCCCGTTTTACGCTTCACGCTAGTGAAGCTAGGTTTGCTTGGTCTTGTTGCAGCAGCAAACTGGGTCTGTTTTCGGGCCTCTTGTTGACCTCGCCTGAACTGGGTCACACTCGCAACGCAAGGGTTTCCGATCACGCTGTCACACTTGCAGTATTGAGCTACGAAGGAATTTTATCTACTTTACCCCCTGCCCTGCTCTTCGCTACTTGAAATAAATCGACCGGGTTTTTTTATTGTCGTGGATTTAACACATCCTGAGGTCTGCGTTTTGTTTCAAGCATCAAATCAATTCACCACGGGCCCATGTATAGCCGTAGCTAAAAGCACATTGAGGCTTGAGATGGTGTAGTAGCCAACTTACGGTTGCGATTGACGCGTGTCCATTTCTAGTTAGTTTTCAAGGTACTTAATAGCAGTGAACACTAAAGCGCGTAAAATGCGTGAAGGAGGTCGCTAACGTCAGCAACACCTGTCTTCAAATCGTGCTATTCATTTCCTTACAAGTTGGAGAGATGTTTTGCTGCGAATGTGGAAGCGGGATTCACTGCCATGAGCCGTTGTTTTTATTTTCTTTACCCACACAGACTGCTACGTCTGAAGGAAGTTGAGCCTCCAATGTGCAATAGCAGAAGATCAGGGAACGGTCGTTCCGCCCCAATCGACGACGAAGTGGTTTTCCGGCACTCGGACTCGGGCCGCAGTTCAGATCAAGCTGTATGTGTGTATGCATATATTTAGCCAAATTTTCATGGCTACTTCGTCCTTAGAATTAATGACTCTAAATCATAACTTGGTGCTGGCTGAATCTCGCAGTCGTGCAAGTCTAGAAAACTTGCGAATTTTGCTAAATCGACCCCAAGGGTCAAACGGGGCGTTAAGTTTGTTTTTTTTAGGTCGACTCGACCAATAACCTCCTCAGGCGTTTTGAATTCGGGTGGCAATCATTCCCCGTAGTTACAATGAATCTTGTTAAAAGCCTTTTTTACTTCAAGTCACTGATTTCCGCGAAACAAAGCCGCACTGAGCCTCCGACACGCAAGCCTAGCGAATCGTCCTCCTTCCACCGCCGCACCGTTGCGGATTCCCCGGCTAACGGCTACTGGCCCAGCTCACCGCTGGTGGCGTCGCCCTTCTACATCGGCGGTTCGGAGCGTGTCTCGGCCGCGTCCGTCGTCACCACGGCCAAACGTCCCACCTCGCTCAACTCCTGTCCGCCGATTGACTGCCCCGCCACCGAGCTCGCCCTCCTGCTACAACTCACCCACGAGTTTGAGCTCAGACACTACTGGGAGAAGCGGTCGGCCGCTGCCAGACAACTCATGGCTGCTAAAGAGGCGGTACGTCGAGGGCTAGCAAGTTCGGTGGCTAAATGTCTCTGTCAGGGTTAAGCTTCTAAAAATACGAAATACTTTTGTTCTGATTTGCGACACAACAAACTGCAACTTTACCCACGCAGTGTTCCCTATTCGCGTCATTCGATTCGTAGACTTTTCCGTGAACATTCCATTATCTGTTGCGAAATCTTTTTTAGTAGTTTGATTAATATTACTTGTAACTTTCCCTTCGCTGTGTCTGTCTTTGAAATAGCTAGGTATTTCTATTTCGTTAATATTTTGTGTGCTGCTTCTTTGAAGAGTTATTCTCCCCCGACTTCTATAATCACTCAAGTCATTTGACTTCACTACAGTATGACGTTAATCTATTTTTAGTGCGATCGGGTGCGTAGAAAACGGTCTACATTTGTGGGGTCAGTTCGACTTATTCATTCGGATAATTTGGACGATGTTGATTCGAAATTGAGCGCTGCCCGGTATGCAAATTAACTTCTATTTTGCTTATTATTACCACTTGAACACTCTAGAAGACGCCAACGGAATTAAGATGCATATATTACTTTTGGAAGTCAAATTCCTACGAAAAACACGATTCGAGATACTGCCCTGATATTTGATTAGTCGCAAATGCGGATTAACTGTAGAAACTGGCCTTAGGGATAATTAAGGTAGTTTTGTCTGGCGAATCTGTGGATCAATGGCATCAAATAGGGACTGACTCGGGTATACAGCACAAACTGGAAGTTTTGTGAACTAATACGGGATGGAGACCTAGTAGCACATCACCTATCTAACATGCTCCCTCTTTCCGGGCTTGGTGATATTGTTCGAACTAGGACGGTTGGGAAATATGGAGCACACTGGACGAATCACATGGATATCAACCTCGAACCAGTCCGGCATTGCTTACCAGCTAACCCATCGAAAGCGTTTGTGTAGGTTAAGTAAGTGGAGGCAAATTATAGAATGTGTTGCACTGATTTATTTCAGAAGGGTTCTCGAAAATGTCACGGCAGACATGCACGAGAGGAAGTATCGATGGAGTCGCATCGAGGAGCTGACCGGCATGCTGTTGCAACAGCCCACCGATATCAATGTGCTGATGACGGCATTGGGATATGAAAACCCAAAGGGTCGCCTGGCGGGTGAGGGGAGCAACAGCAGCCTTCGTCTCTACGATCTTTCGGCGGAATTTTCTCTTTTTACGGGCGATGATTTCGTGGACGATCAACCAAGCTCATGTTTCCGTTCTTTCACAACAGGCGCTACTGAGGATTGGCATAATAGACAAACAAGCGATTGGCAGAACAAGTGTGCACGGCAGAGTTTGTCGCGCAAACACCGCCCAGATGCATCTCCTGCTGAAGGTAGGGTGACACTTAACGTAGCGGAACCGATCACCTGACGCCAAGAGAAGATAAACCCCTCACACACGTCCTTAGACTTAAATTGGTAGTTCCAAACCAATTAATAGGTGCTTCGGCCTCAAGAGATCGTCACGTATTAACCGCCGAGCAATGGCTAACTACCGAGGCGATGCTAAGTGCACCCTAGAACCAAGCGTCAATTCGATTTGCCGTTGTTTTAGAAGCTCAGTATGCTCAGCCCGATGCAAGGTCCGACCGCAGCCCACCAGCTCGAGAAAACTCCAGTGGTCTTTTCATCCAACCAACTCTAACAAGAAACAACTACTCGTTCGTGCGCCCATTTGCCGCCCTGTGGCGTCGCAAAGCCAAATCACACACCCGCCAACTTCCCTCATGCTTCGGACCGCCAACTGCCGTACCCCACATCAGACCACAATTCAGTATTGACACGGGAACCGGACCCACAAACTATGACAGCTACCAGCGGAAACCCTTCATATCATAATATTTGTGTGCATTTTATCCCGAGCGTAGGTAGCTGTGTTGTCGATCTCCTGCCCCTGTCTTATCAACAAATTTTGCTGATTTCTGAATACTTATTCACTCATCTCCATCAGAAATGTTTTTCTTTTAAAGAATGGGAATACAGCGACTGGGTTTTGGAGTCTAGCACAGCAAGGAGGGAGCAAGGTTGTAGCATAAACGCATTACGGAATATTTAGTATTAGCACAAGATAACGCCAAGTGAATCGATAACCACCTAATTCAACGGACTAAGACAAAACGCAAGTTTGTGGGATTAGACGTACATAGAGTCGGTCTTTAGGTAATAGAAAAACAAAGGCAAACAATAATAGTTGTGGTATTGAGAGATTATCCGCCGACGATAATGCTGTTTAGGGGCACAAATACCAGCTTGATTATGTACCCGAGGACTCCCATCGCAAGAAAACCGACAGCCGTGGCAATCACGTTCTTCTTAAATTCTGGAAAGACATGCCAGTAACAAATAATTGAATTGTTACCTTTACGATCGGGTTTAGTGCATCGATGAAAAAAATGTATCGATGACTTCGTGAATTGAATGAGAGGCTCCGTTACAGCAGACACCTGATCCATTACACGGCACCGAACCCGTTACAACGCGACAAATGCGAACCGGATTGATGTGTATAAACAAACTAAAGCGTCATATTTGATCAATTAAGTCACATTCCAAGTTGCTTAGTTAATGAAGAGTTAAAACCAACAAAAAAATAGCAAAAATTTTTAATGTCAAATAATACAAAAAGCGAAAATTTCCGGACATATTTAGGCAATTAAATAAACCGATGATTCATTCACCAGACAACGTTGGGAAAAAATATTAGTTTCAGCAGCGTTATTTAAATTTTTTTAGGAAACCTGAACTTTTTTTAAAACTACTTCCCCATTTTAAAAACGATGACTCATCGGTTACCGTCGAAGGGCTAATCTTACACCCTTGATGCTGTAGCGCATATCTGGCTGATCCCTACAACCCTCTAGTAAAAAAATATGCAACAACTTGGAAACAAAGATAAAAAAGAAACAACAGACCGTTTACTAGCATCACGCCAACCGAGTGAGTCTTTGTATAAGCATTAGTGCGTGTGCGTAACTGGCGATTATTAAAATCAAATTATTAAAAATACGGATGGAACATTGAAACCATCACGTCTACAATTAAGCTCGACGGAAGTTCGATTGATAAAAAATAACTATAATTCCAATGCAATCAACTCATCCCTCGATAGGAAATTCAAAATTTATTGCTTATTTCCCCAGACTTCATGTGGAGTTCGATCATTTGTTGCGATTTCGTGCGCGCGTTCAAGCATGCATTCGCTTGCGCTGCTTTTCTACCTAACATGAATTGCTCCGCGATTGATTTAGACATTAGCTGGATCATTTATTATTTATAAATCTAGACGTAAATATCGTTGTTTCATATTATGGCGCAAAGAGTTTCGCGATGCATTTCAAATCCATACCCTTAATCCCCTGATCTGACCACCAGGTCCCTATCTTCTTTTAAATTTTGTTCAGAAATGTAAGGTCAGTAGTCTTCATTACACTAAGTTCTGGCTAACATCGTATTCTACATGGCCATTCATGCATTGTAGCACCAGATATTTTGCGATAATTTTAAGCATAAAACCCAGTAACAACTCTAGTTCCTGGTCATTAATTGCATTGCTAATTGAAACCGACACCTTAAAAGATCAGCAACTGAAGGTAGAAAACATACGCACTATGGACATTCTGATTGAACACCCACCCCCTTCGATGCAACTTTTTTTACTTTCAGCCCCACTATTATCCGCTTAGTGGTCCACCAAATAGTGTCACCTTCAAAACCATTATGGCAACTTTGAACAAACCATAAAATTTACTCCTGCGTCAGCAACTTTCCAGCGTGAAATCCAGGTTTTTGTCTGTTAGAATTTCACACGCTCTTGCCATCCAACTTTGGATGTCTATCTCAAGTTGACCAATCTTCGTTGCAAAAATCTCTACTCTTGGCAGAAACGCCATAACGCAACAAATTGAAATGAACGTCAGGTGGACTAATATGTGTAAATATCCGGCGTATTTATGCAGCTCCATACACTACGGGACCAAATCGCCAAAAAAAGAGACCAGTCACGCACGATAATCATCATGCAACTTCATTGGAAATCTCATTTCTTAATCTCTAAAGTGTGAAGTGACTTTGAGGAATAACACGTTCCGGGTCAGTGGAATCTAAAGGATTCCCCGGGCTATAATCTGGAGTTATAAATGTTTTCAACATTTCCTATACTAGCATCGATCGTAGCTATATCTTACTTTAAAATATATGAATCCTGCTTAATTTTATATTCTGCAAATTTTCGAGAAAAATTAATTAACCACTAACCGGAATTTGCGTAAAATTTGTTATTTCTTTACATATATCCTTGGCCAACATGTTGAGCGTCAACAACGAATATGCTAACGTCGGACGCATTTTTTTGTAAAAAAACAGTCAATATGTCTTTTATTAATGGAATAATACTCAAATTTTTGACGTTAATCAAATTTGTTTAGTTCAAAGGCATATTGATCATAGGTTCTATATTTTCGGTAATTCAAGATTTGAATACGATTTAAGCAAATGATTAGATATGGTTAAAATCATTTATCTTTTCTTGCGGAACGATTTTCGTCATTTATTTTCTTTATGTAACCTTTGAAATTACCATAATGGCGGGGAAGACGAAACATTTTCACAGCTTGGGGTGTTCTATGCTACACATAGCGTTGGCTTGTAATTCCACGAATTTGCCGGTTTTAATATTAGTATGGATAGGCTGGATGCTAGTGTGAGTTTAGTTTTTCGTAATTCTAACATTGCGCGTGTCACATGGCAAATTCGTTGTCGTTGGCTTTACACTTTAGCAGTTGGCAGTATTTTCTTTGTGCCAATCGAGTTATGCTTTCGGTCACCAAATTCTCACGTAACCGTGAACAGATAAATATGTAACTTTCCTCTTTTTGTTCATGTTTGCTACGATATTGATCGATTTAGGTACGCATGCACCTGCAAATTACAAGTGCAACTTGGTTCTGACTGGATCTTTTCACGAGTCTGTATGTCCACTGTGTTCTTTGCTATAAGAATGTTTTGGTATGTTTAGCAAACTTCGGACTTTCACCGGTTCAGCTATAAGTGTTTTGCGCCCTTTTTATAAGGCCAAAACTATCGTAACTGTTCCTGATTTTGCACTTATTTCATATCCTCATGCTTTTGAAACCGGGTTTTGTTCAGTTTCAGCAACTGAAGCTTGGTGAGACTCCACAAGGGCTCGGTGAAGGGCCCTTCTATTTTCCAGGTGGTAATCAGTTCATTAGCAAGGGATTTAGCCATCCGACAAACCAGGTAAAACGTGGCACTCCTCCGCGATTTGGTCGATTCCAGCCGGACTTGCCGCCCCCACAACAGCAGCCATTTAATGGGTACTCATACATGACTCCTTGGTTTATGGCCGCTGCGGCTGGAGGTACTTCTAAATCATCCGACGGGATCGGGATTTTTGGTGCCCCTCCTGAAAATGGTCATTTTGACCACTTTAACAACAATCAAAGAGGCTACCAGCGTCGACCTTACCGTGGAAACAACGTCTACAATGGCCAAACAAACAACAATTCATCTTCGACATGGAGTTTTAGTTTCAAAACCGAGGAAGAGCTTTTTTGTAACAACACTCCGAAAGCCAACATTAACTTGGAACTCTATGACAGTATACCCGTAAAACAGTCCGGGCCTGATTGGACAGCTATTGATCCGCTTACTTCTTTCACTGATGTACAGTTGAATAGTGTCCTTGTGGAAAATATAGAGCGTGCACAATATGTCCACCCAACACCAGTGCAAAAATATGCACTTCCGATTGTACTGGCGAAGCGAGATCTTATGGCTTGTGCTCAGACAGGTTCTGGAAAGACGGCTGCCTTCCTACTGCCCATTCTCCACATGATGTTGGAAAAATCAAAGAATATCGAAAACGCAGAAGATTCGGTGCGTACAATTTACATTTCAGGAACTCATGTCGATGGCGTTTTGCATTCATGCATTTCTGCACCATACACGTTTGGCATATCATTGGAACACTCGCTTTGGTTAATAGAATTGTCAAAGCTTATTGTATAAGCATTAATCCACATTTTAGTGACACTCAGTTATTTAGTCTTAGATTTGTTCACTTAAGGATTCTCTAATTACCTTTATTACATTCACGGCTATCGAAGACTGATTACCCAATTCGGACCCCTTAGTTAGCCGAATTTTGAGTAGGCAAAAAGAATCATTTAAGTCTTCATTTCCTTTGGTCCTATGAATTTTTCACAGTTTTGTTCATGTTGTAATACTTTAAATATATTCTTCCTTAAGATTGTTTTCGCTCAATCAAGCCTTTCTATCAGAATTTTAACATGCGTTTGCCGATTTAAATAGTGGATTTTCAACCAACTTCTATGATTGCAGATTTGTCTCAAGTTGCGTGGGTTTGTAGTCGAGTCACGTCAAGTTTAAATCTGCCTTGTCCTACTGCTCATCTTAACAGATGGTCTGACCGTTTTTCACACCCCTTATTATTTTAAGAGGTTTATGGTGTGGAATTCCTAATAATGTAAGATTGGTTGTTTGTTTTAACTTGAATGTTGATAATTTAGTTTTAACTTGCATTTAGCAGTCGTAACCACATCCCCAAATGCGCTTCCTTGATACGGCTGAGCCTTATCATAGTAATGGTTTGTTTTTGTTAAATTACATTATTGAAGAGTCAATCTTCAGCAAAGTTGCCAAGTTACGCTTCTTGCTGACCGGTATGTAATACAAACGCGGTCGTTGGTTTACTGTATGTGCAGATTGGTTGTTTAGCAGCAATTATTGGCGCAAATCATTAATCTTATGCTACCAAATCTACACTAAACTCATCTGCCCAATGTTTAAAATGAGACGTCTACTGTTCCACGTCCGTCATGTCTGGGAGTTTTCTGCTTCGTCGCAATCCTTTTCCTTCTAAGCAGATTCCCGCTAGACTTTAAAGTTTCCGGTCGATGTTTCTCAGAATGAGTATTCAAAACATTCCGCTCGTAACTGAATAGGTTTACGTGACTGCTAATCAGTGGTTGTGGTTCATTCTCACCTCAAATTACGTGGTATTTTTGCTTTTTCTCTTAGTTATTTAAAAAAAAAACAGGGAGCTGTTTTAGGCCAATTTGCGTTGGATTACAACCTTTTTTACCACTCAACTTGGATGCCCCTATCACGTCAGTCTATCAGTTCGTGGGCTTTCCAAGCAACCATTGAACCTGGGCTTATTCGGTCCCACTGACAGTCTTGAATTCGTCATGCGACCTGATTGTCTCCATTCGGTGTCTAGATTAATCACCGGTCCATGAATATCTGCTTTCAAGGGAACTTTGCACATGCATGTAATTGGGTAAATCTAGGCTAAAGTAGGGTTACTAACCCCATACCGGTATTTTAACATCTCTGCTTGTTGTGAGACTTCGGAGGTGTAAAGAATCTGGTTTCCTGTGCTGAACCACCCTTTGTACTTTGATCTTTCTAAACTGATATTGCCTGTAAGCCGTCAAGTGGATATCTTGCCTGATCTCATCATAATGTGTTCTGCTTCATTGCAGAAGTCCAAGGGAAACCAATCAGTGCAGGCGGGCATAGCGAGTCCCACGTGTCTTATTCTGGCACCAACTCGAGAACTCTCTTGTCAAATCTTCGACGAAGCACGTCGGTTCGCCTACCGGTCGGAAATAAAACCTTGTGTGGTCTACGGTGGCGCTCCCGTAAACAATCAATTACGCGATTTATCACGTGGCTGCGATCTTCTTGTTGCCACACCTGGCCGCCTCGTCGATGTGATTGGTCGAGAGAAGGTTACTCTCGAGAATGTTAAGTAAGCCGACTACTTACTGCCTAAAACGCGCATCGCGTAATCTAGCGGACATCAATCAGCATCGTTCTTAGACACTCTTAAATTGCGTTAATTCTGTGTATTTGGTGAATGCGCAAGGCTGGTTAATCGTCCATTAGTCTAGAGATCGTGCTCAGCAAAATCCCATTGTTATTCCAATTAATTAGCATTTACGACTTGTGAAAACCTTGCAGAGATTTTGAGCTATAGAACTGCATTAGTAGTCTGTTTTGATTCTATCCGTCCTGCTTCGTCCTTTTCATTAAATAGTTGAACCAACGTGGGTTCTTCAGTTATCGTCTTATTTCCGTGGGACTGAATGTCCATTTATTAACTGCTCGTTTGTATGTAAACCGATCGACGGCGAAATCAATCCCTTTGATATCGAGTGGCGTTTTTTTTATTTGGAATTTTCGACGTACCTTTTTACTTTTAATGAGGACTAGTGAATCGGCTCCTTCGTTGGGATTACGTTCCCGCCCAACGTGTATTTTGGCCGGGTCATTATGGTGGTATCTTGGTCGGGCAAATATCCAACGTGTGGTTAATGGTGGAGTTGAGTAACAGAAGAGCCCACTGTTTATTAAGTATCATCTCTCATATCCCTTCTCTATTTGCTAGATGCAATTTATGCTCCGTGGACAATGAAAGGGTTTTCCGGTTATTGTGGGCGTCTTCCAGTGTCTCGCACGGTTCTGTTAGAGCATTTTTTAAACATCATTCGACTTCCACAACACCGGAGAGCGGTCACGTTCAGGTTAAAGAGTGTACCTTGCTTGGTAGTTGCTCATACCTAAATAACTTGTTACAAATTTATAGTTAAAATGTATGTTCTGGTTCTCGAGAGAGCCTTGGTGTAGGTTCATCAAATTCAGATTTCAAGTGAGCGATGGTGCCTCAAATCCGGTTTTCTGTAAATGCTGCCGTCAAACACTGTCCAGATTCGTTGAGCAGTAATCAATACGAGTTATGCGTGTAAACCGGCTATTACACGCTGCTTAGAATTTCTCGGGTTGTATTTTTGTGTGTTTGGGTGCTGTACAAAAAGTCGGCATGCGAGTCAACGGGTAAAAGTCCATACCTGCGACGTTGAGACGGATTCAAATGACTCAGTTTCCGACAAATTCATGACCAACCCATAAAATTCGCTAGCCCTATGAACGCATCTATCGTGGAGACGGCAATCGCCAACAAAACCACATTCAATTGAGTTCGATGATTTGGGTACGTCATTGGTTGGTGATTCTCCCCTCGATTCTCTGTGAACCTCCTCAGGGGTAACCACTTCACGCCAAGTCATTTGAATCAGTCGGTTCCAAGGTTGGTAATTTCCGAAACACTGAACACGCACTTTTGCGACTTCTCGTTCCTTAAATTTGTTTTTTTTTGCGTCTCATTACTAGTTTCCTTGTTTTGGACGAAGCGGATCGAATGTTGGACATGGGTTTCGAACCACAGATCCGCAAAATCGTCGAACAGAACGGAATGCCTGACTCCAGCCAGCGCCAGACCCTAATGTTCTCAGCTACCTTCCCGACTGAAATACAGGCGAGTTTCATTTGTTTGTGAATACTTTTAGCATTTCAGTTAGTTTGATACACGACCTGTGCAAAGCGTATCCACAAAACTACTAAAAGACGATTTCCTGGGTTTCATAACGTGATTTTTGCCTCGAATCCTTGACTGTCGACCCACCACCGTACATTCACCGCCCTGATGACCACTCTGCTGTTCACCACATCACGTTCCTGCGAAACGAATGGAGTGGAGTAATGCGGGGGTCCCCACATGAATTGTACCGAGGCAGACCATGAGTGGGTCACCAAGAACGCCTTGGTACTCGGGCTGTTGTCTTGTGGGAGGGTGTACCATTGTTCTAAAGCATGTATGGCTGCATGAGAGGGTGACTCAAGCGCCAATCAGGTGAAGGAACAACCTGTTTTGCAAGCTGTGTCAATCGATTTTAAATTGTAAGCAGACTATTTGTTCTTCATCGACAATTGATTATGCTCGCGTTGCACGTTCACCTGATCCTCCCTTGTTGAAAGCACAACCAACAAGTTAAGCTATGCGCCACATTAACCTCTCTCTGCCAAGGACTGTTTTACTTACAGTTCTGTTTTGTTCAGTTACTGGGCGGTAATTTGTCTTACCTTGAGGTGCGTGCTAGTAAGGCCATAACAAGTTTATAGTGAAACGTAGCAACTGTAACCAAATCTTTAGAAGTCAGTGTGGTTCCCGAAAATGCCAGAATTCACTCTTTCGTGGGTTTTTGTTGGCGCTTGTTGTCGGCAAAGCTTTATCCACTATTTGCACGCGTACTTGGTCCAGTGTTGGAACTAGGTGTACCAGAGGCAATTCTGTCCAAGTCGAACCCCCTTGTTATGTTGCGATCGAAGCCCCAGATCTACGTCGGTTATTTAAAAAGCATGTTTTTCTAAACCTCCATACCCCGCGTAATTGCCCATTATCCAGTCCTTTCAAGCTGAATTCCAAATAATAATAATGGTAATACTAAATAGAAAAACATTAAATATACTAATATAACTGCTGCTGGATTATTTGAAAAGAAGAAAATTAAATTATAATGTCTCGTCTTGTCCCAACGGCCAGCTAGACCCGTACTTCGATTCCTAACGTGTCTAAATTAGCACCGACTTTTGCCAGGGCCATGTCCATTTGACTGGGGATAACCGTCTAGGCATTTGCCTCAAGTTCATGCTTTATTTGGTGTGTGTCTGACCGTGTGCTTGTCTTAATTGCCGCCCACTGTCAGGTGATAATCACTTAGAGTGTTACCTAAACTCGCAAACAAATGTCGGCCTTTTTTGGTTGTCATCGCCTTCACACCTCAATTTCCCCAATTAGCTTTTGGTGATTGCGCTTAAAGCATGTCTTTTTCCCCCTGCAGACTTTGGCGAAGGACTTCTTAAAGAACTACATTTTCTTGGCCGTGGGACGTGTGGGCAGCACCAGTGAAAACATCTCTCAGGAGATCTTCTACATCCAGGACAGGGATAAACCCGAGCGCCTCGTCCGTATTCTTAGGGAAAAAGGTAATTTCGCTTACTTGCAGGTCAGTGTCAGGTCACACGGAATTTCGCGTAGGTGGAGATTTTTCGGCACTGACTGGAAACTCTTGTGTGTTGTCTGTATAAAAAAAATCTTTTTCAATTCCGTGATTTCTTCATATTCATGACCGACACGGTTGATTGCAGTCGCGTATGCAATTGGTCCCCCGCTACTTTCTGAAGCCGGCATTTTAAGACTATTTCAGGTGATGTTGCTTCTTTTTTGCACTTGAGATAATCGGTGCTCGACCAGTGAGCCTTGGTTCATTTCCTCAGAAGGAAACTTGCGGGCACAAGTGCTACTCATAAACACAAACAAATTAAAAAACCATAGGAGTGTGTTGTGTGCGTTATTCGAAGTGCTAGCACGAAGCTGTGTAAACCGGGTAAATGTCACTGTCCGAGCTAATCAGGTAGGTAAAAAGTAGAAAGAGAATGTGGAACTACGTGGCAGATTTTTGAAGGAATCTCATCGAGCAGCTATCATCGTCTTTTGCGTCCACGTTCTTTCGGCTTTTTGGGCTACTCGACCTGCTCTCAGTCGGATTTTGCAGATTTCGCTTCCAACTGCCCGAAATCTCCAAATATCGCACCCTTTTGAGTCGAATCGCACTTAGACGTCCTTTCCATTGCCTTGAAAATAATCAGTTGTGTTGTGTTTTCTAACTTGCTTGCCAACTTTTTGATTTAAACCTAGATTTATAAGCTAGTTAGCGGTACCACCAAATATCAGATGCTACTTGCGTGGGTGGAATTATGAGGCGCTGAGGGAGCGTTGCACACCCTCTGCCCTTTTTGGGTTTCACTGAAAGCATCGCGACATTATAATGCAATGCCAGAACAGAGACAGAATGCAGAGTTAACCTGTTAACTTGCATACTCAGCTGAAGACCCTTGTCTCAGTGTGCTTTTGAATTGTTGCGAATTTCATAAAGTCTTGCGCCACATGCCTTGCGGGTTGGGTTAGTGGTTAGGAATCAATAAGCGCAGTCGTCTACATGGCTTTGGAAAAAAAACCAGTAGCCTTGATGGTGCATACGTGTAGAGATTAAATGGCCATGTATTAGGCTAAAACGGGGGCATCTGAGGTCTCGAGGGCTTTGGACAATCCATCTGATACATGGAGCTCCCTGCACTAGGATGTAGCAGATGTCAGTCACACGTACATCTCTGAGTTCGTCAATTGAGTTCCCTGTGTGGCTATTGGTTATCCAATAACAGGTGTTATTCGACGCCTCAAAAGTCGATTCGAAATCTTAGTCCTCACTTGAACGGGGTTTCTGCATTGCGTTTTTTGTAGTGGTGTAGTGCAGCTGCTCATAGATCAAGGCATTTTTGAACATTGTAGTATGTCTTTTAGTGCGTCAACCTTAAAAAGCATCATGGTTCTTTCTCATAGGGAAGTCTGAATGTGGTCCGCTAGCGGTGAAGGTATTTGCAATCAAATTTTTGTCCCATCCACCGACTGGCATCTTAACAGCACTTCGAGCCTTTTAAGTGGGAACCGAATACTAACTGTGGTGGTGTCGATTGTTTGTGGCCGTACGGTTTTATTAACACGTCACGTAGTCATCCGTCCAATGTCTCTGCAAGCTCGCTTTCGCGCTGTATCGACACTTATTGTTAATGCCTACGAAGTGACTTTGCAAATGAACTATAAGGGTATTGCAATAGACACATTGGCTTAAGTGTGTTTGGTAAGCAAGTGGCTTTCGTTCCGTTTCCGAGGTTGAAAATGTGGGTTATGCTAACATCGGTCTCAGAGAATTTGTCAGCTTTAGTCACCACCACATTTAAACATCCCTCCTCCCTGCATGTACTCCAATAATGACCCCCTGTATCCAAGACAGAGCCGGTCGGTGACAGCGTTTGTTTTGTTGCGTTGGCATGCGATGCGTCCCTTAAAAGGCTTGACGACAAGTAAATGTGCTCATTTTTTGGCATCGCTAACGATCCTCTAATCCACCAGTCTTACACTACAACCTTATTTGTCGACAGGGTATCCCAAAATTGCGACTCCAAAGCTTGCGTCATGTACACGTGTGTGTGCAGCCCCTGTTTCATTCAGCTTAGCATTTCCTGCCGCAATTTCATGAAATTAGGCATGGCTCTAGGTCTGTGCTTTGCAGCTTGGCATGCGGCTTAGCCTACTCTGCCGAGTAAACGGCGGGAGAAGCCAAGTAAAAACCGTCAAGACCAGCGTTGTCGTTTGCGTTTTCGCGCCCCACTCACAAAGTCCTCCACGTGTTCGCTCTTTGCACTAATCAGTGCAAAAATAATTGTGAAACAAAACCAATTGACTGAAACCTAACTGTCGTGCGTCTCAGGGCGATTTCGGTAGTGTAATAATGTGAAATTAAGGTGCACTAACGTAGTGGTCTTTTTTTCGCTTGAATTCGCGGATTTTTCAAGTGATCGTCGTCGAGTTGCAAGACGTAGTGCATGAATCATTCGTGTCTTTTTAAGCTAATTTATGGACAAACACAAGTCTGCAATTTGTCTAGCACTTGACAGCATGCTGCTACGTGAAGGCATGGGTCAGGTTACGAAAGTCTAGGCCTGCATGCATAGAGTTGTGTGTGTGTGTGTAACCGCCAATAGTCTGCTAAAATCACCAAGAATACTTTGGTGGTTTCAAGTCGCAGGATTAACGAGTTTCTCCCGAACAGTCTGTTTTCCGCTTTCGTCCCCGCGACACAGTCGTTTCCGCGGCTCCACCTTCCCGCACCGGTGGTTCTCGTCCCAGGGTTTATTTCAACACCAGAAACATCGACGGACCTGTTTGCTCAATTTTTTGTGCACAATAACGCAATTACACAGCTGCCGTTGTTGAATTCAAGCAATCCCCTATACGTTTCATGTTTGCCTGCTAACTTTCCTTGTTTCTGATCGCTTTTATTCCCCATAATGCTGCTTCTTCACTTCACAAATGGGCTGCTCTTCTCCGTGGCGTATTGGTCACTTCCAATAAATTAAGGAGAGATAACTTGTGTTTGATGATGAAGTTGATTTCACTCACCCCCTACCGTGCTACGCACTCTCGTGCCTTAACCTTATTTGCTATTGGAAGCGGTTACCTTCAGCTTTTAAGTTTACCGTGTCATTGTGCTGTCGTTAACTCTATATTTGTAATGCCTGGTACGTTGTTAACTTCTCCTCATTCCACACGTTACAGTATCGCTCAGCCCTGGTGTATGGTCTTGAATTTTGCAAAATATGAACATCCGTTAATGTCGTGTTCTTGTTTTGCCCCCATTTTGATCGATGTGGCCCACGTCCGTCTCGTGAATTTTTTTTCCGGCATTGTGGCTTGCGCGCACAGATGAGTACAGTGCTACCCCACGTAGAGCCACAGTATTGAGCTTACTCCCTCTTGCCTATGGAGTTCCTGGCTGTTAGCATTTGAAGTACTTAAATCTGGAGATTTGCGGTAATAAACTCGATGTTTTGTATATCGCTTTGGTTTTCTCTAATGAAAGGAAGCCTGTAAACACGAAACTTTGTCGTACAAGCACGATCTGATCACCGAACTCGAAAGCAATAAAAGATGATCCAGAACGTTCGACAGCGTATACGTGTTATCATAGTCAACAAATATGACGACTATAAAAAACGTACACAGCCATTGTGCGTGCCGCTGTAGGCAGATTCAAATACCATTCATCATGAGCATCGCATGTCCAGTTCAAATAGCGGCCCAACGAAGCCGGTATAGCATAACAAAGGGTTATACAATAATGACAGCAAAATCCATGTCTGAAGGAATATTTTTCGGCGAATTAATCCCCATTACTTAGATTACCATCCCTACCAGAACAGCGGCCTTCATTGTTCTTACTATCGTCTACTCTACAAGCGTCATTTAAAAATGTACTGTCATCGTTCCTTTTTTCTCGAACATCGACTATTGCTAAGCAGTGAAACTTACAGTTAATCGTAGAGTAGTTTTGTTATGTTGTTGGTCGGTAGTAGTTGAGATACGTATTTCCTGACTCCTGAAGGATTTCTTTTGCGTTTATTAATTCATTCGTCCCTTGACGGCGTTACCTTTGCTAAGTACTGGTGGAACACGGAACTATCACCACGTTTTCGGCAGTACATCACACAATGCTTTGCTTAACTGCTTCATTTTTTGCAAACATGCTCTTAATAAAAACACTCAATTAAGCATGCCATGTCGCGTTTTCAGAACCGTCGGCACTCGCACTGGTCTTTGTGGAGACCAAAAAGGGAGCTGATCTGTTGGCGAACTACCTGAGCCGCCTGCAGTTTCCCGTGGCCTCCATCCACGGTGACCGGCCGCAAGCCGATCGCGAAAGGGCCCTGTCGTCGTTCCGGTCCGGTCGCACGCCTGTGCTCATCGCCACCGCCGTGGCAGCTCGTGGTCTTGACATACCCAATGTCAAAGTGAGATTTAATGCCCTGTATTCCCCTTTGTCCAGCCTCCGGTCAGACGGCTGCATCTCAAACCGGCGTTGTCTTCGAGGGGATGGAATAACACAACATTACTCCACCCCCCGCCCCCGCCCTCCGCATCAGATGCTTATTGACAAGACCCCTCAAACGAAAAAAGGCTGCTCACATGCTTAATCACTCCCTAACATCTCCCGTTTATGCGAACAAAGCCTGAAATTCCACGCACTGCCACTAAAGTATAGCATTTTATCACTACCGCTGCTAACGTTGAAATCAGTCAGTTCGTAGGTTATCACCTAAATCCCCCATCGTTCGGTCTGAAATTTTCGCAACGTGTTTTGAAGTTGTAGTGGAGAAGCACGCACCACTAGGTTGATCTGTCAGCTAAATCGAATTAACCGCCCTTTAATTTGTGTGACAATGAGTCATTTGAACTTGCTTGTACGTGAGTTGACAGCCTGGCAATGCCTTGATTGTTTTTCACCTTTGAGCCTGTAAATTTTGGTGTTTTTTCCTAGTCCACCTATCCTTCTCCCCCGTAGCACGTGATAAACTTTGATTTGCCCTCCGACATCGAGGAGTACGTGCATCGTATCGGAAGGACTGGTCGTATGGGGCAGCCCGGCTCGGCAACTTCCTTCTTCAGCGACAGGAATCAGAACGTCGCACACCAGCTAGTTGAGTTGCTTCGCGAGGCAAAGCAACCGGTGCCCATATGGCTCGACCAGCGGGCCACCAGCACGCCAGCCAACAATCCTCTCGGAGCCAACGGGCGTCGTTACGGGAGTAATGGGCAAAGTAGAAGGTAGGGATTGTGCATTCCCCCTTCTGTCCCTCTTAACAATCCAGCATTCAATGCGAGTGGGGTTTAACATCGCAGCTTTGGTGGATATTCGGACTTGATAGGGTCTCGACACGCCCTCACCATGAGCCGAACCAGTGGTCCAACAACGATGAACGTTCCGCCTCCAGGCCCTCCTCACACACGTTCGGCTTATTGCTAGTGGATGAAATGGCTGCATTCTCATCCCAATCATTCCAGTCACGCCAATTGACGTAGATTTCCCAGTTAGGTTCCGCCTCCATGTAGCGTCAGCGTGATTTCTTGTTAATGGTAAACGTAGTCGCTTGAATTAAGAGAATTGACAATTACCACTTTTACTGCATTCTATCCACTGGGACGAATGGCAACGACTTTTTCCCTCCCTCAAGCTCCTTGTGTACGAGAAGACTCCAAACATCGAAGTTCCAATGGATTCTAAGGCAACATTTACGCCTGGTGTGCAAATTTTTTAATTTCATTGGCTTCGCTCCGTAGGCGGTGGTGACCTTATCGTTCGCCTGACTCACATATATCCACACACACATGCTGTCGCGGTCACAGGGATTCGCGTATGCGAATCGCCTTTTTCTTCATCGTAGGAAAGTCTCTAGTCTAGATTTTCGTTTGATCCAGTGTGCGGTGTCTAATTCTTCGCCAATTAATGTAGCCTCGCTTTACGTGCTGTGTTCAAATGTAAAATCTACAATATGAGCTTTCTCATAACCCTGGTTTAGCGATGACAACATCAGCGTGTTCCCCGCAAATCAATATCGGTTTCTAAAATTAGAACACTTAATGGTCAGTCAGAATTTCCACTTTGTTTATTGTTACTTCCTTTGTGCTTTTAACGCCAGCTCCGTATTACGTGGTTTCGTGTGAATGGTCTAAATGTAATGTATTAGTAACCTGGTTTTTGGAAAAGCATTGAGGGAGGACATTATTGTTGTCTTTTTTGCGAAGACTCAAGCTACGCTAAATGCATTTTTGCAGCAGTCACACACGTACTTTCGCTGTTATTCAGTGCCTGTTTAATGCTCTGAAAAAATACGTTGATAATATGAAGCCATGTTTAGTCCCATTGGAGGTCACTGACCCCAAATCAGCCCTAACAACGTTTCACGTGAATCTTCTTTTTTTCTGCTGGTTCTGCCATAATTGGACGTTTTTCGGGGAGGGAGGGGATATCACACATGATCCTACTGCCTCGTGCCCAATCTCCACCATTCTCTCACGTGATTTGAACTGTGATCGTTTACAGGTACCGAGTTTTGCAGGCCCCGGAAACTGCAACCTACCAGACTAATTCAAATATTTTCATTAAGTAATCATCCTAAAGCCCAACATGCGCTTTCACCGAAGCCAGTTTCATACCTCTTTTGTTGTCAGTTGGCGTAATAATTTTTTTTATGCCACTGATACTTGACACCTCACTTTTTAATCCCCCTGTAAGCCCACTTTCATTTAACAGAGTTAAAAAGTCTCCAGTCACTTGTTTTCGTTCAAGTCAATTTACGAGTTCAGTGTAGTTTAGTTTCGCCATTAAAATCAGCCTAGCCTCAACTAGACAGCGATGTGTTGCCCTCTAATGTGTTCATTTTGACTAATCTTTCGCTTCGTCTCTGCACATTTCTTGTCTGATGCTCTACACTCATTACTGTGCACGAGCTCTGAAGTTTGTAGCTACATGGGAAACGGAATTTAACGTAGAATAGGCCCTGTGCCTCCTACTTTAGATGGCCCCTGTTGTTCATGGTAAGCCTGCGAATAATAATTAAATGGACATACTACCGATACCTTAAATTCCGATTTCGTTAGTAGCGTTTTGAATTGAATAAAAGGTATGACTTGCTGTGCCATCTGCTCCGCGTGTTTTATACCTTTAAAGTAAGCATGGTCAAAACGATTGGACGGTTAATCGAGGATTGCGCTGACGTGTCTAGTGCTGAGATGCGAGCATGTTTCGTGTCTCGTGATTCAGCAAACTATATTTAGACATCTCGACTGTAATTTTATTTAAATTTATTTGTGAAACAATGTGCACTCCTGCCACTTTTGAAGTGCGAAGTAAGTGCTTTAATAACGATTGCTGGCTTCGCACTTTTTTCCCATGAAGAAATTGGCGCGAACAAGAAACCTATTCGGGTCAGCAATGCTAAGGTTTTCCTGTTTTGTTTCTTCGTTTCCACACACAGGAATGGCGGCTACCGTCCGAGTTACGCCTCACTCGATTTCCGTACTGGTCAAAAGACGAACACAAGCTACGTGCAGAACCCACAGACACTGGGCCTTCTAGGGAACTGCACCGCGTCCCTTGCTGCGGCCGCGTGTGTTCCACCGCCGAACCACCACCTGCGCTATCAGCAGCCTCCTCCACCCCCTCCTCACCAGAATCCCTTCGCCACAGCAGCGGCCGTTGCGGCCCTTCAGGGTCTCCAGCAGAGCCACCCCTTCGGCCCGCCGCCACCGCGGGGGCTTTTCGACACCCGCCCACCCCCCTCCACCTACCCGCCCCCACCGTTTGGCGCTGCCCCCCGGGCCAACCCACCTCCCCCGCCACCACCCCACTCGCTGATGCATCAGCCCGCTCCTCCGCCCACCGCCAACCCCCAACAGCAAATGCAGCAGTACTTCGCCGCCATGCAGCACGTTGTCAGTACGGCAAGCCCGTCGCCAGAGTTTGCCGCGACGAATTACCACCAGGCCTTCGCTGGCTACGCTCCTGCACCGCCACAGGACGTGTTCACGGCGTCGTCCCCTCCGACAAAGGCCTCAACAGCAGGTGAAGGGCAGATGATGCCTCCAGCCTTCTACGCCGGTTCGAATTCACAAAACCATCACCACCAGCAGCAGCAGCAGCAAAGTCAAGCTGCGATAGCCGCCGCCATGTCGGCAATGGCTGCTGCGATGTCGAACAATCAGATGGACGGAACTGGCGGTATTGATAAGGATAAGAGAGGTCCCGTTGGAGGAGGAGGAGCCGAGTGGTGGGTCAGTGGTCCTCCGCCAAGTCTCCCGCCGTATCATGCCACAGCTGTGCCCCAACCAGCTCCCACTGCTAACTAGCCGCACACACACATACACCCACCCACAGTTATACTCCCATTCTCATGTCATCAAATTGTTGTCTGTTAGTCGACCCCATTTACTGTCTGCCCACCTCATCACTTAATTTTACGCGATTGGTTCTAATATGTCGGCGTTCCGTGAAGATGAATAAGAAACATTGCATTCATTATTTCGGTGCAGTTGTCGCGAGCGCAGACCAGTTTGTGATAATCGGTTGATGTTGGCGCGCGCCTCAGGCTGTACATAAACGTCTCTTCATATCTACACTACTTCTGCTCGGTGCGCTTTCACTTTCGCGCATTCCTTCAGGAATAACAATAAAAAGAAATAATACTGTACAGAATCGTTAGGTAGCAGAGGAGATGGAGCAAGAAGTTCAATCATGCTGTTTTATACAACCATCCGACTACACGTTTGCCTGTTCTCCTGCATTTTCTTAGAAACACTGGTGCTGCCACTGTCGCCGACGCACGCTCACCTCTTCGCGATACCGACTTTCTCACCCTCACACTCCGTCCCCCCTCCTCCTCTCGGCTTGTGTCCTTGTCTAGACTGCCGTCGCACTCGCCTCTCTCACAGTCCCTCTCTGTCTAATCTCCCTTCATCTAATCAGGCTTTAGTGTGAAGACTTTCTCCACGGGCGCAAAAGTACTTTGCCGTCACTGCAAATTGCCTTCTTGTAGCCGCTCCACTCCCCCGACCCTTTTTGTTGCTCCTGTACTCAATTCTTTCCACTCAAACATGCCTACTTGCATATCGTCTAATATACTTTAAGTAAATTTTTATGCTGTCGCGCGTTACAGGGATTGAAAAAGATTATGCAATCGGGACTGTGACGAGATTCTCGTGTGTAACTCCCCTGAATTATATTGGATTTGGGCAGAGTAGAGTTTGAGTTTGCAATTGACAGGACTTCGATGTACGTATTCAGGCCTTGCTTCTGAATGCAGAACTCAGTTCACTGGCGGCGTGCGGTGGGGTGGCCCACCTTGTAAATCCACGTGGGCGATATTAACTTTGATTGGAAGACACATGAGGTTGTTCACACAATTAAAATAATGTTGGTATGTCAGAGGTGGTCTTGTCCACTCACCCGAAATCACTACGGGTGCTTGTCAGGTGTGGCTAAATAAGCTTAGTATAGTTGAACGCAAGGGATGTTAGTAGCGTTGCAGCGCGAGGGGGCAGTCTTGCACAATCGGGTGTAAATGGGTGCATGTTTCATCATCGGCACCAAGCAAAATGGGTATATTGAAATGGAAGTGCCACCGCCTTTTGCACTGCACGACGAAGCGCTTCGTTGCTGAGTCAACGTAGCAAGCTAGTTGCCGGTCTGACAGCAGTCATTGTGGCTAGACTTGAATTTGTAATACATCAATTGCCTATTGCTGTATTAACTCCAATGAGGATGTATCTGCACTTTCCAGGCCTTGTCAGTTAATTGAGTGCCACAAGATGCACGTACACACTCAATTCAACAGTATAAGTAAGTAAATAGTATCCACGAGACTAAATTCATCATTAATTTCTATGATCAAACGATATTTTTCTTTAATAATGGATAAAGAAATTGAATTATCAAATGGAAAAGGAATTGGGCAAGAGCATTGACCCGACAACTTTTACAGTGGCTAAATTTAATTATCGATGGATCTTTGGTGTCGGCTTCTGATTTTTTGACAAATTCTAGCTCCTTTACAATATTCATTTGTTCTTTTAAAACCTACCAGCATACTTAGGAGGAAATTGGGAATGAGAACGCTTGACATGCCATTTTTTGAGTTTTTGGTCCCGAACGAAATTAGGAGGCTTTGAAATTTTAGTCTTTAAAAACGCCACTTATTATTATTCTCCTAAGAGATACTTCAAAAAATATTATTAAAATAGTTATTTCCTTGCATTTTTTGCAACTAATTTTCT